TAGGCACAAAAGATGGAGGCAAACAGCATAATTAACCTGCATCAAAGTTAAAAAAAATCCCATTTAATTCGATTTCAGTGCTGAACGATTGTAATCCAACATAAATATTGACATAAATTCAGGATTGACTTGCGAAAAAACTTAACACATTTTTACAACTGAGGAAAAACAATATTTTTTTCTCTAGACACCATAATCAAAACCATAACATAATCATTAGAATCGGCAGATGGAGAATTGACACTCATCACTAATCCAGTACTGGTTTCTTTTCACAAAGGTGGGCCGGTCAACTGTGACTGTGGATAGACGGACTCTTTTTTTTCTTTCACAAAACCTCCTTCTGCACAAACGCATATTTTTTAAGCACACTGGCTACAGGACAGCCAAGCAGATCAATTGTATAATAGTTAAGCTCTAGTTACCGGTCCATCCTCATTATCAAATAGCCAAGGGAGCTCTCCTTTTTGAACTTTTGAACCCATATACTCAGCCACAATATGGTTATAGATGCTGCCTATACCTGGTGGCAATAGACTGTCCTGAAAGAAAGACCTTGCTTATGCAGTCACCAACAATGCCAACAAGACATTAAGAGGTTACTTTATTAAGTGCGTCATCCAGGTGTTTCAGTTTTTCCTTACTCTGTGATGGCAGGATGAACTCTGCCATTTTCCCCTTATAACATGGATCCAGCAGGGTAGCCAACCAGTAATGGTCCCTCTCTTTTATGGCCCAAATCCTGGGGTCCTTTTGCAGGCAACGAAGCATGCATGAGCCCTTCCACCACAAATTTGCAGAGGCAGAGGAAGTCCTTGGAGTCACTGAGGACAATGTTGTACTCGCCTATCTTCCCCCACCCCTTTACAACTTCTGGGAGGTCAAAATATACCAATGAAATCCAGCTTCATGTCCTCTTTCTCCTCTGTGCCAGCACTGCAAACCTCGTCCTCCTTCTTGTGATCCATCCCTACAATGTGTGGCCACACAAGCAGGGCCATATTTGCCCTGCCTGCTGCCCCAAGGCCGGGTTCCGCAATGCACCACATGGAGAATGCACACCAGATAGCGGGGTGGCAGGGTTGGTTTGAATTTTTGTATTGCTTCTTTGTTTCTTTTTTTATGACTTTTTAATTTTTTTATTTCTTTTTTTACTTTTCACATTTTTATTTATCTTGTCATCTTTTTATTTTTTCTTTTATTATAATTTGTCATCTTATTATTTTGTATTTATAATTATTTTTGTATTTTTTAAATATTTTTCTTATTATTTTTTACTTATTTTTATTTATGTCATTCTTTTGTTATAAAAAAATGTTCACCTAACTTTATTGCTATCACACAGGAGCTAAAAACTTGTGTCACCCACAAGTTCATGCTGGTGCTGACTGCAAAACCTAATAAAAAAAGGGAAAATGTATTTGATAAAACACCCCCAACACAAAAAGAATGGGGAACTGCAGCAACATAACTTGTCACTGACATATACACAAAACAAAAAATAAAGTAGTTCTAAAAAAGACTGTTAAGTCAATTCACAATGAATACAGGTGGGGTAACCTTTCACTTATCTAACCCTCAAACTGCAATTCAGTGTAATGTATCAGTGGCAATATGAAATAATGAGTAGAGTACTATAAAGCTCTGTGGTAAAACACTAGCACAGTACAACAGAAATCTCTGTCACTCCCTGCAATCCCTATCAGCTGTCTCTCACTAAACTCCAACATGCACTAACAAAGGGCTGCCGAGAGAGATTAACTTTTTTGAGGGGGCGGCAATAATAAGAGCACAGTAGCACAGTAATGCATCTGACCACAGTTCAAAGTATACTACAAGTCTTTATGGGACATTCATTTTTGGTGCTCCCACCAAACATCGTTAATAATCTGGAGTGTTAGCCTAACGTCAAAAAGGCAAAGTTCAGATTGAAATTAACATTGGTTTAAACCTGAACCTCATCACTTGTCATTTCATACTCTTTGTGGAAGCATATACCTTTTCCTTCCTTTATATATGTTTATGTGTTTTTATACATATTGTGTTTGTGTACACATTTTGTATAATAAAAAGGCTTTTTTTTTTAAAGAAAGGTTTGTTGTTATATGTTGTATACACATGCGTAACACCTGAAAAGTCCCAGTGTCCTCTGTGGTGGTGTTGTTGTTGCATTTCTGTATATATAAGAGAAATGTTCATTTCAATGTGCGATGATAGGTGTATGGTTTATTATAAAAATAATTCACAATGGATATTGATTTATTCTATATTATGTAAAGTGTTTGGACTCTTAGGACGAAAAACACTAAATAGTATTATTATTCATTTTAATATTAACAATTTTATTAGTCATGAAACATCTAACCAAAAATGAGAGCCCAGTGGTATAAAATATAAAAATATTATGACATTTCATTTTGCAGCACACTAGAACACTATGTGATAATTTATCTAGTGATTACTATTTGAGGAAAGCCATTTTAACCACATAAGAATTTATAATACAATTAAATGAGGATTTCATCCTTTACTTATCTCCCCTAGGTTTCTTTTTAAACTAATCTGTGCATTTATATTTCACGAAGTTTGGATTTTTCATGAATAATTTAATTCCGAATAATTTTACAAAGCAAATGGGGGCTATTGACTCATTCCCAAAAGAAGACTTAATTTTCGTCTTATTAAATGTGGTTATATACGTCTTTTTATTAATTCCAGTAACTAAATCTAAGCTTTTTAGTGTTTCTGCCATACAGTACATGGACCTTTTCCTTTGTATCATTTATTGCACTAAAGGGAATGGGAGAAAACTGGTGGTTACAAACAGGACACCTGATTTTCTGTATGCAGTTCAATGTTAGGGACAATTAAAAAAAGATTTAGGGAAGACTTCCAATAACCTTAATCCTGATATTGAAATGAAAGAAAAAAAGTGACTAAAATGTTTTTTCCTCTGAAGTTGTGCTGTTCATCACATCTTACAATAAATTAAGAAAGTGTAAAATGTGATTAACTTGTCTATCTAGAGTTGGTAGGTAATGTTTAAAGACCCAATCAGAATATGCACTCTGTTAGGCATTTACTTTAACACACTAATATGGACCAAACTCTTTTTTTTAATACAACACATAACAGCACAAGGGTTGTGGTGTGCTGCAATTTGGATGCAATTGTCTGTTTCTGCAGTATTGTGTTAGGATGCTATTAAAAAAGATGTTATTTAAGATGTTATTTATAAAATGTGCATTTTACCGCACATTACCACAGTATGAAGATGTCATTGGGAACAAACTTATAGCTATATGCAACAGCTTCATTTGTTTCTCCAGTTTTCATAAATTATCCCCCTGTCTTCACAAGTAGACCTGCCATGGCAGTAGAAGATGGGGCTGTGGTATCTGCAATGTTGTAGCCCTTGTTAAAATTATATTGTCATAGCAGCTGATGTAGGCTTCATGGTGTGCTGGACCAAAGGTTTGGTAGGTACATGAACCCTGGGTATAAACCCTCTTCCATATTTTCACTCTTGTTTCAGGATGATGGCAAATCAGTTTTTTTTAAATAAGGGGATACAACAATCTAACAGCTCTTGAGGTTTAGTAGAGTTGGGTTGTAGTTTTTTTCATTGATGGAACCTTTGCTTTACAAAGTTTTTGCAAGTATTTGAAATAACCATAGAAGTTTACGTATATAGTCAGACTTTGAAGTGCTAATATTTGACATCTGTCAAACCATCAAACACATTGCCTAAACAGCAGTGGAATATACTTTATGTTTATCTTCTGAAATATTTCCTTTACAAAGGCGGTATTGAACAATGCATATGGATCATAGGTATGTTTGTGCTCAGGTAATTTATTTGAATAAATAAATAATGGTAAGGGGCATTTGTGGACTGTAGAATCAGAATAATAAATGCAGAATCAGTCAGATTGTTTAACTTAATATTTGTTTGTGTTTTACTGTACTAAATACTAGATTCTTTATTCTTCCAGTAGGTTAAACAGGTATTGAAAGGTAAAGGAAAAGATAAGTACTCAATCTTTGTGTAATGACAGCAGACTATTATAGCAGAACTTAACAGAGTTTTGATTCTCAACTGCTGATGCACATGCAAATTAACTGAACACAAAATCCATGCATCCCAACCTCAATAATAAACTGAGCGACTATATTACTTCATAAGCCACCAGCATAGGAAACACTGATATCACAGTCCTTCTAAATTAAGGATGAGAGGTTACAGATAAAGTATGTAATTAGCAAAACTAATGATCAGCATGTGTTACACTACAGTCCAGTACAAGTCAAGCACCAACCTGACACTAAACAGAAACATTAGAAGTTAACTTCACTTCCTCATTATACATGCATTTTTGTAAGGAGCAGTAACGAGTGAAAGGTACTTACCATTTTGCAGTCAGGATTCACTTGCACAGAGCTATACAACATGGAGTCCTTCTTGGAAGCTGATGAGTGATCAGGCGGGGAAGTGTCACTGATCTCCGGAGGTGGAACGAGGACAGGTGAGTATGTTACACTTTTTATAATTTAATTACATATGCATCTATGTTAATTTTCACTGAAAATTGTTGAAGACAGCAAGTTTGTTTAATTTTTACCTACTATTTATTAACATATGGTTTGTAGAAGCTTATTTCTGTGCAAACTTGAATGAGAAAATATTTTGTCTTTATTGTCATTATAATACTAAAGTGAAAATGGCCATTATGGTATTTTTAACCACTAATGTAGATTAATGTTCCCTCAGTTATGGACATCATGCTGAGGAACATTAATCTACACAGTCTGACCTCCCCAAGCAGAATGAAATAATAAGGTTTTTAATGCATTTCTGAGATAAAATCAGCCACAAATCATAACACGTGTGGATATAGGACTAAAAAGTCTCCTTAAAACATCTTGTTTTATCAGTTATATTTTCCTTGATGTAATCTATAAGTGGTCTTGAAATTTAAATATAACATTTCTTTTTTTAGGTTAACTGGGATGAATCTGCCCTCTCCAGTCATAAGTAATAAAAATTGGCTTCGTCTTCATTTTACTTCAGACAGTAACCACAGGAGGAAAGGCTTCAATGCCCAGTTCCAAGGTACAAAGCATCACCTGTCACTCTGTTGTGTATACTTTGAAAAAAAACCTGAACAATTATGTAATTTATTTTTTAGTGTGGTGAATAACACAAAAAGTCAAAAAAAGCTTTATGCTTACCTGTCTGATAAGCAGTGTGTGGAAATGTTTCTCTCTTTAAGAGCACTGCTGCTTTTCACCACTTTCTGGTCAGATAGCATATCCCCTGCTGCATACTGTGGTTTCTCCCACTGACCTCTATGTCACTGCAGTGATGTTTGGAGCTCTTCAAGAGAGAACATATTTTACGCACTGCCTGTCAGTATCACAGAATCATTTAAATTTCATTTTTTTTCAGAGCTGACAAAGTGGTTTAAATTATGTAGTTATTTCAATTATGATAAGCTATTTTATAATGATGGCTTTATGATAAGGTATTTATGGTAAGGTATAAGGATAACGATAAGACATTTATACTGAGTACAGAAGAGGTATGAAAGAAAAAAGGGCTTACTGCCTTTTTAAGTGTTCCCTTCAAAGGTAATTTACCCAAAACAGATATTAGGAAAGTATTTGGGGTTAATATATCCTCTATTCAACATAAAGAAAGTAGCTTACTGCTCTGATGTTCTTGGTCTGCCCTCACACCTGTCTTTTTTTAACCACACTCCTGGGTGTCATTTAAAAAAGTGGCACAAGGACAGCAGTTATTCATTAAGCAATAGATCACTATTAGAAGTCTCCACTTGTTATATCCAGACCTCCCATAAAAATATACCGTATATGATATATATATATATTATAAAATGATTCCCTATATATACTGTATGTAGCGCTCACCCCTTAAGGAGCAGCTGGAGTAAATGAGCCTTCCATAGCCAGTCCAGAGATTTCAGCAAGCAGCTGAATTTCGGCAGAGAGGGTTAGGGTCAGGATCATCCAAGCTGGTGTAGACTCATTTAATTAGAACATAGTTGCTGCTGCCATTCACAAACTAGGAAATTTAAGCCAGATTGTGGAAATGTGCGTTTAGAGCACCTGGCTGAGCAGTACTTGAATTAAAAGTGATTAGTCATCTTCATCCTTGGTATCAGTAGTAGCCACTGGGCCCCAGTGTGAGCACAATGCTAGTCCCCTAGGCTTCAGGCCTAGCCAAATCAAATAGTCCATAGCAGCCTTCCCTAAGGCAGGGCCCAGCGGGGAAAGAGAACCTCACATGGTCTGCCCTGAATATTTATGTCCTCTCCCAGCATGCACCACTGGCCTTAACCTCCTAGTGATTGGCCAGGGAGACATATATACTCATAAAAATTCCTTATTGGTTGCTCTGCTCTGTGTAATGCGCCTGGTTCTAGGACAGGGGAATGGATCACAGCTGCGGACTCGGTACGAGGATTGGAGGCTGGGTATGGCAATCAGGCTTGAACCCCAGGCGTCTCTCTCAATCTTAACGGAGAGTGAGGGGTTCTTGCATCATTTGCCACAATTGAGGTAAAGAGGTTTAGACCTTGTATTGGTTATTTAACTCATAACCAAACGGTTCAGTGTACACAGAGTTAGATTCAATGCATAGTTAACAGTCTTAATCCAGATGATGATATAGGCACAAGTGGTATCAGGATTTAAACAAGCCAGCCAATATTTTCTACAAACAGTATTGGATCCTTTGCTAGAGGGTATTGATTGTGAGACAGTTCTAATAAGCCAAGTACCAATTCCCCCTCTAGTTCCAATACTTGCGGTTAGGTGCAGACAGGTGTGAGGTATACTGATGTCCAGAGAATGAGAGGTCCGTGAGGCTCTTAGCATGTGCAGGGCATCCAGCACAATAGTGAACGCTTCCATAGCGTTCACAGGACTTTTATATAGTCCGCGAACCCGGAAGTGATACGGCCGTGACGTCACTTCCGCGTTCCACATTGGAGAGCAGGGAAACTCCCCCTCCGAGCGGAAAGCGGCCTGCGTGACGCGGCCGATGCTTTCCACGCTGGAACGCATCCGGCTGGCGGCAGGCAAGGACGTTACACTCTGTGGCAAGGATACACCCAGCAGCAGGCAGATGCAATCAATAACAGATTGCTTAGGGAAAACCAAATGAGCATACATTATAGACCAGTATCAGACTAAATACAATTTGACAATACTAAATTTACTAAGCACTCTTGCTTACAGGGTGCTATATATATATATAAAACTATTTTTTCCAAAAGTAACTCCCCAGGTCACAACAATGATGTTGGGTTGTCTGAATGGCATTTACATTCACTGCACAAGCATCAAATGCTCACGTAAGTGAATACAATTTCATTCTAATTTTTAGCGTTTGCAAATCTATGAAAAAGTTGACATAATTTGTGCCCTCATCAAGCTAACTCAATCTTATCTTAATGTTACACTTACAGTTTATGAAAACCATGTCACAATGTAGGAATGACAGGGGAGTAACACTCTGCTAAAGTGAAAAACATACTTCACTTTGAGCTTTAGAATTCCTCTACTTTTCATGAAAGTCACACAAATGTGATATCATTTTAATCAGCATACTTTGTTAATTGTATTTTCTAGTAAATATGGGGGGATTACATAGCATGAAAATGTTGCATTGGGAAAAATGACAGGACATTTTATTTTTCCAACTTGTTTACTATTTATTTCTAATATAATAAAAAAAACAATAACATATGTATCCAGAATTATAGCAAATTAAACCTCTATTTAAAAATAAATGGCAACTGTACAATTTATAACTAGCCTAGATAGCAAGGTGCACATGTAAGGACTTACAGCACTACAAAACATAGACATTTCCCAGCACACTTACCAGCTGGTAAGTGTGCAAATTAAACTGTCTAAAATATGCATTAAAAACAGAGGTTTTAGTTGCACAACTCTTGCAAAATATGTGGAAGCCCCACTGCCTCATCTGCCTTGACAAAGTAGTGTGGTTTTCACATATTTTGAAAAAGTTGTGCAAATAAAACCTCTGTTTTTTACACATATTTTTAGACAGTGTAACTTGTTTTGTTGTAGGCTAGCTGGTAAGTGTGCTAGAAAAATTCTGTGTTTTGTATTGAATCAGTCCTGAAAAAATGATGTATAATATGTCAAGGTAGAGTACAAAACCTAAAACAAATATATAATAACGTGTGGAACCGAGACATTGGCGAAATAAAAAAAGCTCTCAAACTTGAAGATATTTATGGAGAATAAGGCCTGAGGACTCAAATTTTAATGACAAGCTGGGTAGCATTCCCTGTAATCCATTTAGTAAATTGTGGAATAAACTGAGAATGTAATGATCCAGGATGGATATCTGTTTAAATTGAGCCACCAGCTACCCAACTACCCAAACTCACTTTTGTGTGAACTTGTCCTTTATAATTACATAGATAAAGTACCATTGTGTGCAATAACCAATGACAATCATCCAGAAATTGTTTTTCATTACCCTTCTCCCACTAATCTGATAAAGGATCGTCAGTTTGCCTAATTATTACATGTTATATATGCATTATATAAAAAAATAATCCATCAGTGTAAACATTTTTACAAATGCTAAAATAAAATTATTTCCCAATTATTTCTTAACTCTTAACAATGTATTGTATTTTCACACAGAACCTTATCTCAGGTTCTGTGTGAAAATACAATACATTGTACTAAAGTTATATTCCAAACGTTATGTACTTTTTTCTTTAAAGATAAAACTCTGGACAAAGAATATTCCCCTAGGGTACTCATTACATGATTCTAATATATTGTTGGCTTTGGGGATTAGCCTTAGCATTCTTTCTAAGTGCTGCTTACTGCTCTTCATCGTATAATTTTTCAATATTACAATTCATTTATATGGAAAAGCCAAATTATAGATTGTCATAGTCTAAATTAATTGCGACATTGATTACTACTATTAATGACCCCAGTGGTAAAGGATCTTATTTTCTTCACCACAAATGCCAGTTTTGCAAGCCTTTCTCTTCTCTTATCTAAGATTAAAAATAAACTACATGCTTGCAGTGGTTAGTGGCAACCACTAGTTCCCTAATCATCTGTCTGACTCTTTTTCTATATTCTACTTCATGTTTTCTTAGAGAAATCACACTCCCATAACAAATCAGTTTGAATGATGATAAAGTCTTAAAGTACTGACAATTCCCCAGGTATGTGTGTTGGTTTAGACAGACACATTTAAATATTAGCATTTAAAATTCAGTAATGTTCAACATATAGATCTGATTGAAAGTTACTACTATAGCTTCTAATAATAAAGTGTTTACTTGACATTGTAAAAAGGGAGAATGTTTTAGATATTGTGTCCGGTAGTATTGTTCAAGGTCACTGGTGAGTTCTTCATAGTTACACATCATTCTTGCTGTCTTGCACGTGACTGATGCACATGTGTAAAAGAATAGCACAGTGGCTCCACCCAAGTAGAAGAAGTTGACTTCACACAGAAGCTGTCAACACTTATTTAACAGTTACGAGTTTTATGAGACTCCCACAATGGAGATTTCATGTACTGTATAATTAATCTAGATGTATTTAATTTAGGCATTTTACATAACAGTACTTTATAAATAAATAACATTACAGTTTACAATATAAACCCAACTTAAAATGTGTCTGAAGTTTGTGTGAGTAATAATGGAAAATAGCAGTACAACACAATGAGCTGAATTTTTATTGTATAGAAAACTACCTTGCGTTATTCTAGAGATGTCTTCACACTATAGAATGTACTTATTTGGTTTCTAAATGCATAAAATGTGGACACTGTGTCTAATTTCTAATAGTTTCTATAAAAATGGATAAATGTGTGCATTTTACGCTACTTGTGGTTTTATGGTAACTTGTGGTTAAATATCACGGTAAAGTGGAGAAAAAGCTACCAAAAAGCCCCCACACACACACATAATTGGTGAGAAACAGGGCCTTCTTAAAACAGAAGGTATTTGCTTGTCTCATTTCCATCACAGATCCTAAAAAAGAGGGGTTTATTTCTACTTTTTGAAAAGTGGATGCAAATGTGCATCCAGAACTGCTGGCTGTATTGTACAGATACAGCCTAATATTATAGAGCCTTTTATTCAAAACCGTAAACAGCTGTTTCAGGCTAGTTGGCAATCTTCATTCAGTGGAAACCATGGCGCCAATCAACATCATGGGGAGCATGGCCAACTAGTCAGAAAAGGCTGGATGTACATTTGGCCAAAGAGACAAAAAGGAATAGATTGCATGGCTCCACCCACTATACTATAATTAGGAAGAAACCTCTTTATTTTTGGATCTTTGATGGACATGAGACAAGCAAATGTTTTCTGTTTTAATGCTCTACTGTGGTTTAATATCAATTACCTAAAGTTACATGTATTCATGCTAAAGCTCAAATGTAATCAATAAGCAAGAAATTCCCTATGTGTTTAGGTCAGCTTTGTTGCAGAGTGCCATGGGAGTTCCTAACAGTTCCTCTGTTGAAAATCTTCATTCAAGATTTAAGCACCTGACCCTGCTCCCTCTCTCTTATTGGCCCATTACTGCAATAGGTGGTCTCACAGTACTGAGGTATGGGGGAGGGAGGATGCAGAGTCAAATACCTAGAGGCAACCAGAAGTAACCACAGTTAGATAGAAGTAGCATTAAAAGGGTAACTCCACTTAAAAAATAAAATAATCTTAAAAAATATGGCATTTATAACTATTGCAGAAGCCATTTTGTAATGTATTGTTATTAATGATTACCTTTTTACTTTAAACTGTAACCACTGTAATGTTCTACATCTGTCAAAACAATTATTGCAAACTAATTCTTTTGGAGGCATTATGTGAACAGTTGGTGTACGGAGCTCCCCCAGAAATTTAATAATTGGTGAGATACTACTCCCTAAGGGTTAATTACTATTAAAGGGATGCAGACGCTGCACCTTTTTTCCTTTTACAACACAGGAAGCCAACCAGTTCATTTTAATGAATCCAGACACTCCCATCGAGGGACCAGTTTGGAAAGGACATGGTGAAACAAACAGCTTTTTATTCACAACAGCAATAGATAGGAAACTGCAACAATGTTTGTTTAAATCCTTGCAATGCACATTGATCACCTAGAGGGGATTTATTTTTTTCTCAACAAAAGTGGAGTTACTCTTTATGGAGCTTTAACATGAGTGCAGATTTACTTCAAAATGAAGTTTCATGAATAAATGTTCTGCAGAACTGTGATTCTATTTGATTTAGTTACTTTTTCCTGTATACATTTGACTGTTTACATTAGATATAAAGAGAGTAATGTGAGTCTTATGACTTATTTACAGTTAAAAAGGCAATTGAACTGAAATCGAGGGGAGTAAAGATGTTGCCAAGCAAAGAAAGCAATCATAAGAATTCTGTCTGTAAGTACAATTATTTTAGTAATATTATATTTGAATTGCATTTTTAATGTATCTGTTATATAGAGCATGTGTGAATCTCATGATTGTCTTACATGCAGAAAATTTAGCCAGCATTTTAAGAAGATTTACATAGGACCAGAAACAAACTAGCTATTATTATACTGTAACAGTATATGTAAACACTTGGTACAGTAACATACAAGCCAGTGACATACAAAAAGCAACCCTACTATACCCTGCACACACACATTTCACTGTCTTTGACTAAGAGCTGGTCTCTGATAAATGACTGCTTTTATAGAAGGAAATTAACCATTGAAGTTAAGCTAAAAAAATTGGTTAACACTTCTGTAGTCTATCTGTATGCATTAGAGATGAGATTTGGGTCTCGGTTGGACCTGGGTTTGAGATGTTTACAATACCACAACACTGGAGGTGTGGCCATGGGAGTGCAGTGGGAAAACCTTGTTGAGCCATGGCAAAGAATGATGACTAAATAAAAATATTGTATTTTTTCTACTTACCTTCCATATACAGTACAGTGCAGGAAAAAAACAAAATATATAGTTTAAATACATGTGGAAACTTGACAAATAGACAATCATCTTCACTTCTTTATAAGAAAAGATACAAAATAATTTGAATTGGTTTATTTGAACCACATCAGGTTTTCTCTCTAGTAAAAAACATGTTAGAACTGTGGGAGCAAAGTCCCCTCATCTTTACGCAGGAGCTTTTGAATTCCTGGGAAGGTTACATCAGCATTGCTGGGAAATCTCATCTGTAATCTCATGAGATCTCAGGGAAGGGCATTTTCCTCCCCTGAGATAATATGCATGGTCACATGTCCTAGTCACATGTGCCAGAGTTCCAGGAAGTAAAGGGAGATCTAGCAACCTGTTCTTAGTTAAAATGGCCACTGTCAAAAGACTGGAGAAGAACAGAAAAAAGGTATGACAAATAAAAAGTCTGCAATTATCTAGTATCTGTTTGTAGGTTGTCATTACTAAACATTCCTAAAGGCGCCTTTGTTATTGTTTTGAAGATATAGGTAAAGTTCCTCTTTAGGACGAAAGCACAGAAAAATCACGAACATGTAATTCATAGCAAACATATCTGTGTATAATGTTTGCTTTGCAATCATACACATACTGTATGTTAATCATAGCAAACAAAACTTAATCATTTGTTTTTGAAGTTGATATAACATTAGGAATTGCCCAATTATTTATAATGCTCTGTAGGTCTTTGTTTGTAACTATGGAAAAATTGTAGTATGTTCTTTTTAATTTCACAAGATTTGCTGTCACCATATCATAAAGATTATCTTTATTTAAATAATGATATAGAGATATCATTATTTACATATGTATAGCTTAAATATATTTTTGTTAACATCGCTAAAATCGTGGCGGTAAAACAAGTCTACTTGAAGATCAGATCAAGTTTAGGGATTCTTTTCTGGGATATTTAACAACCCATTAATGAGTTTAGATAGTCTTTTATCAAAGATATTATAATTATTTTGTTATGGCCAGTTATGCAGATTTTCTGCTTGTTATCCTCCAAAACAATTTAGACATGGAGGGTTTGGAGTCTGACCAGTACTAAGATAAAGGCTGCCAATTTGTTCTCTCTAATGCTCAGCTGAATGACTTCTGCCAAGGTTTGAATATAATTTTTGTCAATATAGGAAATATTAAAAAGCTGGCTGAGCTTTTAAGTGTTTGTGAGTTCAAAACATTAGGCTTATATGTATAAACTGCAACAATTACATTTTATGCTTTCTGTTTTCTTCACCAAATGACCATTTTATGAACCTGTACCCATTTTTTCAGCTTGTTCTGCGCAGCCATCACCTGCTATGCAAAACAGCTCTGTCATGTTATATGCAAAATGGTTGTTAGTAGACAGCCTGGCATTGTTTTAATAAGCACTACAAATCTAGAACAAAATCTTTATAGTAGTTTGCAACCCGCGAATATGATTTTAACATGAAAAAAGAGGATTTGACTCAATGCACATTACTATACCAAAAATATTAAGTCATACTTAATCATACATGTAAAGTTGTCTTAACAAGGTAGATTTTCACAGTTCAACCATTTCCATCTAACTATGTCTGAGTTTGACAAAAAAAATTAAATAATGTCTAGATCTAATAATTCTAATAGTGATCAATATAAATCATTTTTATTTTCCCTGTTACTTTTAAAGGGGATAAATGTAAATTAATTACTTAAAAGGATATCCAGATGCTCACCACCTGAAAACTATTTGATAGTTAAAATATAAAGTTGCTGCTGCTGCTTTTGACACTGTGGACCACCTGCTCCTCCTCAAAAAACTCCACTCGCTTGGCCTGCAAGCCAACTCTGCTTTCTTATGGTTCTCCTCTTACCTATCTAAGTGCTCCATTAGTGTCACCTACAAAGCTAACTCCTCCCCTCCTCTTCCTCTTTCTGTAGAGGTCCCCCAAGTCTCTGTCCTTGGACCCCTTCCCTTCTCTATCTACACTTCCTCCTCACACGGCTTCCAATACCATCTCTATGCCGATTACACTCAAATCTACCTTTCTACTCCGCAACTCACCCCCTCAGTGTCCTTGCGTGCCACTAATCTACTAACTGGCATAGCTGTCTGGATTTCGCAACACTACTTAAAACTCAACCTTTCAAAAACTGAGCTCATGATATTTCCTTCTGCCTGTGCACCTTCCCCCAACTTTTCCCTTGAGATTGTTAACACACCTATCCAGCCCTCCTCCCATGCCAAGGTCCTAGGTGTCATTCTTGACCCGGGCCTTACCTTTCTTCCCCACATCCAATCATTATCCAAATCCTGCCGCCTTCACCTTAGTAACATCTCCAAAATACGCCCCATCCTCAACAATGAAACTGCAAACTTACTCATCCACTCACTTGTTATATCTCGTCTTGACTATTGCAACTCCCTCCTCATTGGCTTACACAGGCTATCCCACCTTCAGTCTATCATGAATGCAGCTGCTAGACTCATCCACCTGACCAACCGCTCAGTGTCTGCAACCCCCCTCTGTCAATCCCTGCACTGGCTTCCAATAGCCCAAAGGATAACATTCTGAATAGTAAAACAATCACTTACAAAGCCATCCACAACTTTGCCCCTGGCTATATCTCAAACCTGGTCTCAAAGTATCACCCTAACCGTCCCCTCAGCTCTTCAAATTACCTTCTGCTTTCCAGCTTCCTCATCAACTCCTCCTATGCCCACCTCCAGGACTTCACTAGAGTCTCCCCCATCCTATGGAACTCTCTACCCAAACCTGTCCATTTATCTCCCACACTGACTGCCTTTAGGCGATCACTTAAGACTCATCTTTTCAGGGAAGCCTATCCCACCTCAACCTGACCACTGAACTATCACTTTCTCAAAGAATTCATCCCACACAGCTACCTCCTCGTGTATCACTTGGCCTTCCCTTTTAGATTGTAAGCCCTCACGGGCAGGGCCCTCCTTACCATCTTGTCTTGAATGTATTGTGATTGTAATGTCTTCCTTATATTGTAAAGTGCTGCACAAACTGTTGGCGCTATATACATCCTGTAAAATAATAATAATAATAAGTTGCCAGTAGATAAATCTGCCCGGGTTTGATTCACAGGACGGTGCATAGAATCCGGTCTAAAATTCACAAACCCCAAACTTAGTAGCAAACCTCACTAAAGTCTATAAGGAGAAAATCTTGATACTAAATCTTGGCCATTTTCAAGGCTAATAGACAAGGTATTGTCAAAAAGGGCACTGACATGGGGGATATTTATCATTTAAAAAAAAATTGTACTGTGGGGAGAGGGTTCTCCTTGTTATGCACCTTTGTGGGTGACATAGAAAAAAAGCCAATCTTTAAATAACATGCTTGGGAGATGCCTTTTAGCATCTATGGAATGGAATGCTATGGAACAGTACGGTTTCACAGACAGTGTCCGTGACAGTGTATTCTGGCATTATGTCTTTAAGATGAGCAGTGTTTTGCTTTAACTTATACAATTAGCTTGACTTAAATACAGCAACATCACCCCAATCTGATTCATTCCAACTTAATAAAAGGCTTTTTAGAGTAGTTTTAGTTTCTATCCAGCAGTAATAGGTCTAAAATAACTAGTAAAAGCAGCAACCACAGCAGATTTAAAAGCTGAAAGACCTCAGCTTCATACACATTGGTCAAAACAGTGGCAACACAGTTTATTAAAATAGTTTGTGAGCTTCTTTTTTTTGCAGTACCGCACAGTAATAAAATATCAAACTTGAGTACACAAAAACACTTTAAACGCACAACCCCACAATTTTGCATAGCCCTTCTTTCTCATGCATCACTAATTTTTTCCAAAATATTTAAAATATAGGTTTCAGATATGTGTTTGGTAGAAATTAGTAGAAATTAGCTAATGTTAAGATGGTACACTAGCACTAGAATAGGCAGCAAATAGAAAGAGACAAATCTGAAAGAAACCACAAATATTGTTGAGGGGCTGGATAGTGCAGCTCCAGTCCAGCAGGCATCAGCTGCCACCTGGAACTTTGGAAAAAAGTTCCACTATGACAACCCCCAAGTTCAACCCCACTCCAAGTTCTTTGCATTGCAATTCCTCAACTATAAAATCTAGTAGAAATGTATTTGCCTGGGTTGCTTTTTTAATATGTATATATAAATATAATATTTTTTTTTCTGTATTTTAGCTGTTGATGTGGCGGTTGGGCACAGCAGGGGCCAAGCATGTTTGCAATTGCTCTGCTTCACCAGGATAATCTTTTTCCTCCCAAGCAGTTGATAACCAGTTGTATTTTTTATGCTCATTTATTTAATTATAGTCAGGGCCCTGGAGGCATAGCTGCAGGGGAGAAACCTATGGTCATAGGCTGCTGGCCCTTCCACAAGGGAAAGGAAGGCAGCAGAAAATAGAGGGGTAAACTCTAGGGCTAGGGGGAAGTGCAGGAAGTATCAAAAATTATTTTGAAAT